TTTCTTTTCTTCTTCTGGAAAATGGTGATTGTTGCTATAATCATTAGAGAAATCAGTGACACCTTGAAGATTCTCTTCTTTGAAATAACAGATGGAAGGAACAGGTACGTCTTCAATATGAACAATTGGTTCTTCCAAGTTGGCCGCTGTGCTCTTTGAAATGTCCAGAAGGTTTTCCTCCTCTTGACTGGCCTCCTTATTCGACAATTCCATTTCAGTAGGCACATCATCCTCTTGGCCTTTTTCTTGTAGTACCTAGATGCATAAAATACATACGTTTAATCTTTAGGTCTTAATGTTTTAGTCACACAATAGTTAGAAAAATATGAAGGATTAAAGACCACCACCAAACTAGCATTATGTAATATGTAAACTACATAGAGATACAGAGATTTTATCAAGTCACTCATTTCCCCATTGCAAGTCTTTGCCCTAAACCAGGGGTGGGCAATTCCAGGCCCGAGGGCCGGTGTCCCTGCAGGTTTTAGATGTGTCCTTGAACCAACACAGCTGATTTAAATTGATAAATTAGCTCCTCAACATGTCCTGAAGTTCTCCAGAGGCCTGGTAATGAACTAATTATGCGATTCAGGTGTGTTGACCCAAGGTGAGATCTAAAACCTGCAGGACACCGGCCCACGAGGCCTGAAATTGCCCACCCCTGCCCTAAACTAACCTCTGAGACTCCACCCAAAGAGCTAAACAATCCAAGCATGAAACATTAGCTAATCATGTGCGGTAAAGCTGTTTATGTTTGCACTCTTGATTAATCCAATAATGAAGCCAGAATGTTTTGAAATGCTTTACAAGCAATGTTTTGGGGCAAAGTCAAAATGTGTGTGCGTTCCCTCCCCGTTTTGTTTTTGTTTAAAATTGCCCGTCATTGGGGAATCTATGCATGTGGTCTTTATGCTCAACCACAGAAAATGCTGGTGAGCTGAGACATTCAGATATGGGCTTTACCGAAGGGAAAAACAAAACCCCAAAACATTCAAAATGACTGCCAAGTCACACCATCACTTTAGCCAAGCTAACCACTTCCCAGCTTTTGACCAATACAGAGCAAAGATAGATTAGATGTAAAGCCATCTAAGCAAAACAGGCATAATTGCATTAAAGCTGAATCAGTGGTTATTTTGCCTTTGGGAACAAATGACTACAAATCCAGAAAAGCTGAAGCAATATTAGTGTTCATGCTGAAGTTGGAGTTTAACTTCTTTAAATCTGTTTGACTTTCACTTTAAAAAAAAAAAAAAAAAAACCTGATTGTTTTCAGACCCCAATAACTCACATTCAGTAAAAACAACCAATAATGGGTTGGTGATAACGTAAGGGTTCAAGACCTTGAACATTATTTCACCACCCACTGGTAGCCAACTTTCATTGTCATTAGCTGCTGGGTTTCTAATCAATGGTGCCTGCTGTTGTTGGGATCTAGACAGAAGGGTAACTGAACAATAGAATACATGTGCCATGGCAAAATTTCACAATCAGTTGTACTCCAAGACAATCATTCATTTACCAAAAGTGAATTTAATTGTGGCAAAATATGCAATTTGTAAAGATAACCGCTTACCTTCAGTTCTTCTTTGTGGCTCTGTATCACCTTATTTTCACCTTCCTCCATAGTGCCATTTGTGCCATCAGTTTCCACATCAATTTCAGCACCTTTGTCTTCCTCCTCTGCATGCAGCTCGGCTACCTGCTGCACTGAAGCACTGTGCTTGTTGTCTTGTACAGAGTCACTTTTGGGTTGACGGTGAGGCGGCGTTTTTTTCTCAGCAGTGCGACGTCGATGCCTGATGTTAAGAGCAGTATCCTCCTCCACATCTAAACAGCCTTCAGCTTTCACAACTATGACATCAGGAGAAAGACACACAAACACGCTGAATATTAAGTTTATTTTGATTTATTTCTAAAATGTACTGAATCTGACTTGCATAATCTAGATCACTTCATACATTTTAGTCAGAGTAGATGAGAAGTGACCCAAATTACAGCACTCTTAAAAATTAAAGTCATTACTAATCACTGGCAGTCATTTTATTAAAATGGTCTATTAATATTTGACAGGATGAGTAGCTTGTACTTGACAAGTTTCTTAACGATCAGACATAAATCAGGCAAGATGATTATTTATTTATGTATTCATTCATTGCTGGAACTTATCAATTTTCCATTCTTCATGAAATAAACACTCTTAAAAGTAATCAGCACAGTTCTTTAGCCATAACCTCTTGCAAAGCCTCAGTCAATTGTATTTCAGTTTGAGTGTTTGTATCAAATGTTAATACGCAGACTTGTTCTAGCTACATTTCTTGTGCCCATTCATTTTGAGATATCATGGTGCTTCAAACAAACACTGAAAGTAATTAAAGACACTTTGCATTGTTCCTGCAGGAACAATTCATATAACAGGCGAGACCTCCAAGGTTGTCATCTTACTTTAAGCTACTAATGCAACAATGTTTGAGGAGCCTTTTTCAATTTGGCAATAATAATAATAATAATAATAATAATAAAAAATAAAAAGTCTGTTTTTGGACATCTGCCTGATATTTTAGAGCTAATCTTTTGCCGTGACTGTGACAAGGCTAGACACCAGTATACTGTGAGCTGTAGTCCATTATGGGCTGCTTAAAGTGTTGTATTTCAGAAAGAAAGGGGAGTACGCTCGGTTTTGACGTCTGTGCGCACGCAGCTTAAGCTGAATCTACCACCAAAGCTACGAAATAATAATATAGATTAAGTTATACGTAAATTCCCGCACTAGTAAACTGCAGCAGCTCGCAGGTTTTAACGTTTCATCCGAATCTGTACCTGTTGAGTCCGCCGTGATGCGCAAAACCTCCGGGCTCGGCTCCGGCTCCTGATCCGGCGGTATAAGCGTCTCCGCTCCGGCGTCCCTGCTGTCACTGTCGGTGCTTGTGGCTCCGGCTGTGGCCTTTCTCCGCTTCCCCCTCACTGTTCGGTAGATGATGAAACCTGCCACCATGGACACCATGGCTATCACGGCCAGAGCCACGGCTGGGCCGTGCCGCCCGATCATACAGAAAAGCGAGGCCAGATCCACGCGTCTCTCCAAACCCACGGTGTTGCTATTTTTCACCGGCATTACAATCTGTAATTAAAAGGAGAAGAAGAATGAGCCGTTCTGCTCTAATATCGGTTTAAAGGCCCTGCTGAATGCTGTCGCTGTTTAAAAACTCACCACGCTCTCCCTTCCACGTTTCAAAGTGTAGTGACCTCTTGAAGCTACCAAGCTGTGAACGGCTGCAGGTGCGAGCTGTTCATTGGCTGATTGGATCACGGGAGCGCAGAATTCATTGATAAAACGCTGACGAACCACTGCACACGTTCATCGCAGCACACTTGAAAACGGACATGACGGGGTGGGCTGATAGGATTTAGTACCACTGGCGGGGACTCAATATTATTTGATGAGACTATGTAGAAAGCCTGGGTCTGTATTTAATAATATTTCTCCTTCATGAGACGTGTACATTTCGGAGGTCAGTGCGTCTTTTTTTAAGACTTATGACAGAAATTGATATAATTAATTGAGCTTTCCTTCATGTCTTCCATATCTGAACGAGGGTCCATGAGCTATATAAAATGAGACCGGTGAAACGTGCAGGCCAACGTTATTGATGTTGTTACACGACATCACCAGTGACCAAAAATAGCCGTGTTCTGTGTAACGTTATAGTTGTTACCTAATGGTAATAAAACCACGAACTGGTACATCAAATAACCGATAAGGTGACTATATATATATATATATATATATATATATATATATATATATATATATATATATAACGTACAAAATTATATAAATATGGTGGTCTATTTAAAAACAAAACAAAAAACAACGTTATTATATTTAAAAAAAACTAGAGTAGCAGCTACACCTAGTGGAGAAATGGAGAAATGACCTGAAACTACAGGAAACCTGGATATTTTTTCTGCCGTCGCCTATGGATTCATATTTTGTGAAATATGTGAAATATGAATCCAAGAAATACTAATTTCTTACATTTTTATCCACTTTTGCCAAACCGTTTTTAACTTGTGCTTAAGCATATATTCAATCCAAATTGTTATAACATTTTATTTTCAAGTCAAAATGAAAGAAAGATTTCATTAAATTGATCTTTCATTTGATTTGCAGTAATTGAGAATGAATGTAAAGTATAAAAAAATGAAATTCAAACCAATAATGAATGATTCACTTAAATGTGTTTCTGGTCGAGTTTTCTTTTCAGCATACATCAACTGTTTTCAAAATAGGAGCCTTAATTTTAAAATATGAGTAACTGTAAACACAGAGACATCAGCTCAGTATGCAATCCACAAAGACATGAAAAATTAAACATACAAACATACAAAGGACATTGTTATTTATAGAAGTTCAATAAGTCTTTTTATTTTAAATTCACTTTCATTCATTCATTTGAAGAAATTTGTGCAAACATTCAAGCATAAAATAACAATGATTCAAAGATGCATTTAATCATGTTTAATGTCAGTTTATTTGTACTTCAAATATTGTTCAAAATTATCATTCACACTACAGCTAATAATTACTTTCACTGGTAAAACCGTTCATGAGCTTAACCTGCTGAGACTGTTTGTCTGTTATTAAACTGTGAGAAATGTAATGAGCTATGATATAATCCAGTCTACCTGTATGAGAACTTGTTTTACAAACAAAATAAGTGGTTTCAAAGATGACGTTTATTTTTTATTTGTTTTTTATTTATTTATTTTATTTTTTATACTCTGGTACACCGAGCCCCAACCACCCAGGAGCAATTGGAAGTTCATCCCAAACCACTTCTGCACTGTCAGGAAATTAATTCTAGTAGCAAACTTCCTGATGGAACAGGAAAGACTGAGTAAAGTAAGCACTCCTGGGAAACAGCTCCATCATGTGGAGATCTGTGGCAAATGCAGGAAAGTTCCCGAAGACTCTGGAACTCCTCCACTTAGTATATATAAACTGGGACAGTCTCACTGCTGAGACAGAAAGCAAGACAAGCAACACCAAGAAGACAACAGACACCTGAACAGTGTTTCATCTCACAAGAAGAGGACTCAACACTAAACCCACTGAAGATGCTGTGCTCTCATGGAGTCCAGTCTGCACTCAGTCCATTCATGGACTTCTACTGGCCTGTGCGCAGTCTGTGGCCAGAGATCAAGCCTCTGTTCTACCAGCAGGATCTCCTGCAGAGAAACCTACAGGAGCTGTGCAGCAGTCTGGAGCTGATGGATAAACTTCAACACAGGATCCTGGAGGAGACAGATCCTTTCCAAAGCAGCATGGCTGTGCAGCCAGTTGCCGTCCAGCTGGAGAAAGAGGGAGACAAGTTTGCTCTGATGCTGGACACTCGAGGCTTTTCCCCAGAGGATCTGTCTGTCAGGCAAGTGGGCAGGAAGCTGAGAGTCAGTGGCAAGACAAAGAAGAAGCAGGAGGATGGGAAAGGCTCGTACTCTTACAGACTGCAGGAGTTCAGACAGGAGTTTGATCTGCCTGAAGGACTGAACCCTCAAACCATCACGTGCCACCTGTCTCCAGATGGGAAGCTCCACATCCAGGCAGCCAAAGCTCCGTGTGTTGAAGAGGCTGAGAGAGAGCTGACTATCAAGAGGAGCTCAGAGGACAAAGCACAGCAGAGTGTGTGTTCACAGGCAGAAGACAGCAGGACAGAGACACACAGCAGCACACAGGACAAACCTGAAAACATGGACTGATTGTTGTTTATACCAGTGTCAAATGAAACATTTTAATGTAATTTTTTTTCAAAATATGAATCCACTTTCTCTTTTAACTGCTTTTATTAAATGTATTACCATGGGGTAACCAAGGTAAACCATGGTTTACTCTTTTGTTCATAATAATGCTTCAAAAATAAAATAAAATTTTTACTCACATAATTATTTTATATTATAAACCTTTAAAAATAAAACTGTTTTCACTGAAAGTAGGAAAATGTTAAATAACCACTATTGTTTCCATTTTGGACAATTGCTGCGCATGTTTAGCATTCTAAACTTTCAATAGAACTGAGTTTACAGACAGTCAGAAACAAGTATGTAGATGGATTCTATGTTTAACTAGAAAGAGTCAACGAAAAGTAAAAGACTGTAAAATTTTTACATATTTCTTAAAGTGAGATTTTGGCCTTAGAATAAACGTCTTTATTTTAAAAATAAACATCAGCAGGACAGAAACTCAGAGCAACACACAGCACTAAGCTGAAAACATTAATGTTGATGATATTGTAAAATAGATTTGGATATAACTGTTCAACATATAAAATGTCTGTACTTTTTTCTTTTTTAACTGAGTTTTAGTCGTTCATATGTTATTATAGCAATGTAAAATTATTCATGCTTTATTTCACTGTCTCATGCACTTTTGTATTGTCATGGTGATATCATTAATAAATTAAAAGCCCACCCTGTACCACTTACATATTACTTATATACTACTTATATATATAAGTAGTATAAAACCCTGATATTTTTTATTTATTTATTTATTAACCTTTATTTAACCAGGAAGATCCCATTGAGATTAAAAACCTCTTTTTCAAGGGAGACCTGGGCAAGATAGGCAGCAGCAGATGTCTCACAGTTACAGAAATTACTCAAACACAGGCAGCAACAACACACATGCAACAATAAGTGAAAGAATACAAATAAAATAAAAAATAAAATTCAAATAAGAATAAAAAAGTCAGTTAAAATGACAATCAATCTAATTGAAACAGTTACATGTTATGGACTTGGCCTCAAGGATTCGTAGTTTAGATTTAAAAGCACTTAATGAAATGAAATGAAATATCCACTAGATGTCACATTTAGACCAATAATGTCCACTGGGCTTGTCTCACTCTGTGCAACGAGGAGTTTGTTTTCAAAACAAATCTTTGAGTTGACCACAGGGTGATCCATATGGGAGGACCTTTTTTTATGAGTGTTAAAGTATGAGAACAGGTACTTAGATCACTTTTTTAGACTCCATTATCAAGAAGCATATCACCTTGAAAAGTACACTCAACAAAAATATAAACGCAACACCTTTGTTACTGCTCCCATTCCCCATGGGATGGACGGAGAGACCTAAAATTCATTCCAGATACACAATATAACCATCCCTCCCAAACAGTGGTCACAAATCAGTCCAAATGTGTGGTAGTGGGCACATCTGCTATATTGAGATAATCCATCCCACCTCACAGGTGTGCCACATCAGGATACTGATCTGACATCATGAGTAGTGCACAGGTGTACCTCAGACTGCCCACAACAAAAGGCCACCCTGGAATGTGCAGTTTTTTGCGCTATTGGGGGTCTGGGGACCCAGAACCGGTCAGTATCTGGTGTGACCACCATTTGCCTCATGCAGTGCAACACATCGTCGCATGGAGTCTATCAGATTGTCAATTGTGGCCTGTGGAATGTTGGTCCACTCCACTTTAATGGCTGTGCGAGGTTGTTGGATATTCGTGGGAACTGGTACACGCTGTCGTATACGCCGGTCAAGCACATCCCGAACATGCTCACTGGGTGACATGTCCGGTGAGTATGCTGGCCATGCAAGAACTGGGACATTCTCAGCTGCCATCTGCCCTGAACAATGTGAACCATGATTCATCCGTGAAGCGCACACCTCTCCAACGTGCCAGACGCCATCGAATGTGAGCATTTGCCCACACAAGTCTGTTACGGCGACGAGCTGGAGTCAGGTCAAGACCCCGATGAGGACGACGGGCATGCAGTTGAGCGTCCCTGAGACGGTTTCTGACAGTTTGTGCAGAAATTGTTTGGTTGTGCAAACCAATTGTTCCAGCAGCTGTCTGGGTGGCTGGTCTCAGACGATCTTGGAGGTGAACCTGCTGGATGTGGAGGTCCTGGGCTGGTGTGGTTACACGAGGTCTGCGGTTGTGAGGCCGGTTGGATGTGCTGCCATATTCTCTGAAACGCCTGTGGAGACGGCTTATGGTTGAGAAATGAACATTCAATGCACGGGCGACAGATCTGGTTGACATTCCTGCTGTCAGCATGCCAATTGCACGCTCCCTCATTGCTTGTGGCATCTGTGGCATTTTGCTGTGAGACAAAACTGCACATTCCAAGGTGGCCTTTTGTTGTGGGCAGTCTGAGGTACACCTGTGCACTACTCATGATGTCAGATCAGCATCCTGATGTGGCACACCTGTGAGGTGGGATGGATTATCTCAATATAGCAGATGTGCCCACTACCACACATTTGGACTGATTTGTGACCACTGTTTGGGAGGGATGGTTATATTGTGTATCTGGAATGAATTTTAGGTCTCTACGTCCATCCCATGGGGAATGGGAGCAGTAACAAAGGTGTTGCGTTTATATTTTTGTTGAGTGTAGATCCAGAGTATGAATTGTAATACGCAAATGTTTTGTTCTTATTCTTGTGAAGAAGAAATCTTCTTTTGTGATAATGTTAATGATGAGCAGAATTATCTTACTTTATCTTGTAAAAAGATGCTTGAATTTCACATCATCCAACCCCCACTGGTTGTCTCCCCCATCATCCTTGAAATAATTCTAATGTTAGCTAAAGCACTAACCCAAAACAATGAAGCAATTTTAGTGCTTTTCCCTTGTATTGTTCACAAGTTAATGTCACCTATTACCTTGGGTATTTGGTCTCTCCCCCCGCTCCAGTTAGACTGTCAGGGCTTTTCTTTCCCAAGATTAAATGGAGTCCCCGTAAACGTGGCGAAACAGGGGTGGAGGACCACAGTATCATACTTTGGGCACTTACTCAGCTTGTGCGTTATATTCTATTTGTGGCGCTGCCCTTTGTTTTTCAGGCTAGTGTTGACAGATTATTTATTTAAGAGATCTTTAAATATCAAAGGTCTATTCCCATAATCATTCCACTATCCCTCCCTTCTTAAAAGTTTCTTTTATCTCATCTCCTGTTATGTCCTCCTTTCTTGTCTTGTCTTCAACATTTACTACACATTTATCTGATCTCCTCCTTTCCTCTCCTCTTGGTATAGCCATTATGCTAGTTTTGGCTGCACATTAGAACCTTTACCGATTCTTCATCACTCCTGTTCCCCCCCACCCCCCTTTTGTTCCCATCCAATTCCAACACCCTCCTATATCATCCCTGCCCTCCTTTTTCTTCCTCACATTCAGTGCATCCATGTTTTTTCGCTTGTAACGCTTCCACTCCCTTCCCTCCTGTTGTCGACATTTTAACTGACTCCTAATTGACTGGGTGTGTTTAAAGCAGACAGCTTTTATTGCTATTACAAAAGCCTGCGAATCTATTTGGTGTGTGCAAAAAATGATGCAGACACCATGGCGGAAACATGTTACAAAGCTTCAGCACAACATGGCACCTCATTAAAAATGACAATTATAAAGTTATTAAAGGTTGTATTTTGCAGACTCTGGTGTCAATTATTTTGTGCTTGACAAGCAATATACAACTACAGTATATTTCAAAAAGGCATCTTTGCTGCAGATTTGGCTGAACAGTCCTGCACAAAAATTTTATTTTTTACATTCTTTTTGCAGAATTTGGATTAACTGTATTGTAAAATTTTTTACAATGGCATATTTGAATAATATTAACTGTATATGTAAACAATATTTGCTCTCAGTATAAATCTGTTTAGCACTGCAATGCAGTTATTTTTCATTTCCTTATAGCAGTATTTTGTTCTTTTTTTTTTTTTTCTTTTTTTGTGTCCCGTTTGGATCTTTAGCCATCAGAATTGTTGTCTTAAAGCCAAGAAAGATGCCAAGCGGATTTATTTTACCAAGTGGATCATCATGGCCTTGCCATATTGGTCCATTTGATTGACCTTTATTATAATTATGAATTTATTTTATTTTCGGTTGCTACAAATGGGACAGACATGACTGGGGGATAGGACAGGGAGAAAGAATGAAAGAAAGAGAGGGAGAGAAAGAAAACCAAAGGGGAGAAGAGACGGTGAGAAGGGGGGGAAGAAAGAAAGAAAAACAAACAAAACACCTGGATCACCTGTATGGAGAAGAAAAAAAACAGAAGAGAAAGCAAACAACAAAAAAAGCAACATAATAAAAAACGGCACCATCACAATAAACTAGCTAGCAGTAGATATCAGTAGATACTAAATAATAAACGATATTGTGCAGCACGCAAGATAGACAGCGCACAATGTGCTTTGAGGCAGCAGCCAAGAAAGCTGTAGTCCGCGTCTGTGAACACCCGTGTGTACACCTCTGTGCATACCTGTGTGGATCAGCATGCTTGTATTCCAAAGGTTTCTCCATGTAACGATCTGCTAGGGAGTGTGGGGGGGGGGGCCACAGCCCCGTCCACCAGGGTATGAAGCAGGTATGGAGGAGATCCACGCCCCAGATATCCAGAGGCCCCAGAGTACGAGGACCCGAGGAGGACCACCAAAGGGGGGGGGGGAACCGTGCCACCTTCCTGGGAAGAGCTGAGTAGAGCCCCAAACGAGAGGTCACCCAGCAGCTATGGAGCAGAGGCCAGAGGGGGTTGCAGTGGCGTGCCCGCGGGCTCTGCCAGCAGCCAGCTGTGCCAGAGAGGACCGAGCTTCAGGCCCAGAGGCCAGAGGCCTGAGGGCATCCTACCCCCCGGAAGGAGCCCAGCCCGGCAACCCGGCAATCGGCCATCAGGAGTGAGCCGGTACATACATGTTTTTGAAATAATAGGTATCTTTCATCATTCCATCCATCCAGGGCCATGCTTGAGCTCACATAGGTATCTGAACTTTAATGTTGACATGTGATATGTCGAGAGAGGCATGGAGAATATTCATCATCTTTCATATATTATAAATATATATTGATGGATTAAAAAATACAATGAAAAGCTTATGGAACCTTTTAATAGGGTTATACAACCCATAACATGGAAAGAAGAGCAAA